CTATTCCCTCTGTGTCTACCAAACGTCTGCTGGAGAGAGATTACAAGTCATCTAGCTATTCACTCTGTGTCTACCAAACGTCTGCCGGAAAGTGATTACAAGTCATATAGCTTATCAACCATAGTCCACACAACATCTGAGAGAGAGAGAGAGAGAGAGAGAGAGAGAGAGAGAGAGAGAGAGAGAGAGATAACAAGTAATCTAGCCATTCACTCTGTGTCTAACAAACTCTTACAGGAGAAAGATGACAAGTCATGTAGCCAATCAATCATAGTCCACGCAACCTGTTACAGAGAGAGAGTGATAACAAGTCATCTAGCCATTCACTCTGTGTCTACCAAACTTCTGCCGGAGAAAGATTACAAGTCATGTAGACAATCAATCATAGTCCACACAACCTGTCACAGAGAGAGAGTGATAACAAGTCATTTAGCCATTCACTCTGTGTCTACCAAATTTCTGCCGGAGAAAGATTACAAGTCATGTAGCCTATCAATCATAGTCCACACAACCGGTCACAGAGAGAGAGTGATAACAAGTCATCTAGCTATTCACTCTGTGTCTACCAAACTTCTGCCGGAGAAAGATTACAAGTCATTCCAAATGGTGAAGTTGAAATCATTCCTTCGTAAATTTTACGGACGCCATCACGAGTTGGTTGACCGATATGGAATAACCGTTTCACAGATGATATCGGATATGTTCCTTATGTCGTAACTACAATACCCTTCCCTTTTCACGAATGTGACCTACCGCATTAGACTATTTACCGAATTTGTAATAACATAAGCAACAGGACGGGTGCCAAATGTGGAGCAGGATCTGCTTACCATTCCGGAGCAACTGAGATCACCCCCAGCTTTGGTGGGGATCGTGTTGCTTAGTCTTTAGTTTTCTATGTTGTGTCATCTGTACTATTATTTGTCTGTTTGTCTTTTTATTTTTGGCCATGGCGTTATCAGTTTGTTTTCGATCTATGAGTTTGACTGTCCCTCTGGTATCTTTCGTCCCTCTTCTATCAATCATAGTCCACATAACCTGTCACAGAAAGAGAGTGACAACAAGTCATCTAGCTATTCACTCTGTGCCTACTAAACTTCTGACGGAGAAAGATTACAAGTCATGTAGCCAATCAATCATAATCCACACAACCTCTCAGAGAGAGAAAGAGAGATAACAAGTAATCTAGCCATTCACTCTGTGTCTACCAATGTCTGCCGTAGAGTACAAGTAATCTAGCTATACTCTCTGTGTCTACCAAACGTCTGCCGGAGAAAGATTGCAAGTCATGTAGCCAATCAATCATAGTCCACACAACCTCTCAGAGAGAGAGAGAGAGAGAGAGAGAGAGAGAGAGAGAGAGAGATAACAAGTAATCTAGCCATTCACTCTGTGTCTACCAAACGTCTGCCGGAGAAAAATCCAAAGTCATGTAGCCAATCAATCATAGTCCAAACAACCTGTCACAGAGAGAGAGTGATAACAAGTCATCTAGCCATTCACTCTGTGTCTACCAAACGTCTGCCGGAGAAGGATTTAAAGTCATGTAGCCAATCAATCATAGTCCACACAACCTGTCACAGAGAGAGAGATAACAAGTCATCTAGCCATTCACTCTATGTCTACCAAACTTCTGCCGGAGAAAGATTACATACAAGTCATGTAGCCTATCAATCATAATTCACACAACCTCTCAGAGAGAGAGTGATAACAAGTCATCTAGCCATTCACTCTGTGTCTTCCAAACTTTTGCCGGAGAAAGATAACAAGTCATGTAGCCAGTCAACCATAGTCCACACAACCTGTCATAGAGAGAGAGATAACAAGTCATCTAGCCATTCACTCTATGCCTACCAAACCTCTGCCGGAGAAAGATAACAAGTCATGTAGCCAATCAACCAAATTCCACACAACCTGTCACAGATTCACTCAAGTGACAAGTAATCTATTATATTTGGAAGTAATTCTTCGCACACATGTTGTGGAGATTTTAATACAATATATTTTGTACACAATATTTTTTGAAAATTATTTATGTTTTTATTTGTGTACTCCATATATTTACCATATTACGGCCCTCAATCGCTTTAATGCGCTTTGGCAATTATTTATGATTTTATTTTGTATACTCCATATATCTACCATAGTACGGCACTCAATCGCTTTAATGCGCTTTGGTAATTATTTATATATGTTTTATTTTGTGTACTCCATGTATTAACCACAGTACGGCATTCAATCGCCTAAATGTTCTAACAACTACAACGACCAAATGATTTTATGCGCTAACCACTACGGCATCTATAATATAAATAAGAAGTTGTGGTATGAATGCCAATGAGACAACTCTCCAACCAAGTCACAATGTATAAAAAGTTAACAATTATGGGTCAAAGTAAGGCCTACAACACAGAGCCTTGGCTCACATCGAACAGCAAGCTATAAAGGGCCCAAAATGACTAGTGTCAAACAATTTAAACAGGAAAATCAACGGTCTAATCTATATAAAAACGAGAAACACTTATGAACCACACCAACAAGAACTCATTCCCTGACAGTATTCAATCACTTAAATGCCCTTTCAACTTCGGGAAACTTTACGATAGCCATTCGTTCTAATAAATGCGCGTTCAAGTACAGCATCTAGTAACTTTACTATGCTACCAACTACGGCACTTAATCGAACTCATTTCCGAATGATATTCGAACGCTTTAAGGAGCCTACCATTACGATATCCAATACGGCATCCAACATACAGCATGCTGTCGATTTAATGTGCAAATCACTACGACATCCAATCGCTTGAAGCCTGGTACTTTTGATGACTTATCAAATGTGCTAACCATTATGACATAGAATCGCTTTAATAAATGCGCTTACTAGTACGACGCCAGCATCAAAAGACGGAAAACATTCCCGGTTAAGAGAAGCTATTGAAACAAAACTATCCGTGTCAGCAGGTTTATATGAAGAAGAATGGTTCCAGTTGACTACTATACAAAAATGGAGAAATAACATATTCATATTTTTGGTCTAATGCAATCAACGATCTATGTCAACACTGTGTGTATAATCAACGACCTGTAAAATTCAACAACCTGTATAATCCTGGAAATAATCAACGACCTTTCAATTATAAACAACCTGTCTCATTCTGCAAATAGAAAACGTCCTATGTCATTTTCTCAATAATAAATGCTGTGTCATCCTGGTAATAATCAAATATCTGTTAATCTCATGTCCATAATCAACGACCTGTGTCATTTTGTCGAGAATGAATGACCTGTGTCATTTGGTCGAGAATCAACGACCTGTGTCATTTGGTCGAGAATCAACGACATGTGTCATCCTGTCGAGAATCAACGACCTGTGTCATTTGGTAGTGAATCAACGACCTGTGTTATCCTGTCGAGAATAAACGATGTGTCATCTTGTGAAGAATCAACGACCTGTGTCATCCGGGCAAGAATCAACGACCTGTGTCATCCTGTCGAGAATCAACGACCTGTGTCATCCTGTCGGGAATCAACGACCTGTGTCATCCTGTCGAGAATCAACAACCAGTGTCATCCTGTCGAGAATCTACGACCTGTGTCATGGCCTGAAAATAATCAACATCCTATTTCATCCTGTAAATGAAATACGAATAATGTTATCATAATGTGTATAATTAACGACCTGTCTCAACCTGTAAATAATCAACTTCCTGTCTTATAATCAACGAACTATGTTATCATCATGTGTATAATCAACGACCTGTCTCAACCTGTGAATAATCAACGACCTGTCTCAACCTGTGAATAATCAACTACCTGTCTCAATCTGTGAATATTCAACGAACTATGTTATCATCATGTGAATAATCAACAATCTGTCTTAACCTGTAAATAATCAACTACCTGTCTCAACCTGTGAATAATCAACTATCTGTCTTATAATAAACGGTCTGTCTCAACCTGTGAATAATTAACTACCTGTCTTATAATCAACGAACTATATTATCATCATGTGTATAATCAACGACCTGTCTCATTCTGTGAATAATCAACGGTCTGTCTCAACCTGTGAAGAATCAACGACCTATCTCAACTTGTGAATAATCAACGACCTGTCTCAACCTGTGAATAATCAACGGCCTGTCTCAACCTGTAAATAACCAACTACCTGTCTCAATCTGTGAATATTCAACGAACTATGTAATCATCATGTGTATAATCAACGATTGTCTAAACCTCTGAAAAATCAACGACCTGACTCAACCTGTGAATAATCAACGACATGTCTTATAATCAACGAACTATGTTATCATCATGTGTATAATCAACGACCTGTCTCAACCTGTGAATAATCAACGACCTGTCTCAACCTGTGAATAATCAACGACCTTTCTCAACCTGTGAATAATCAACGACCTTTCTCAACCTGTGAATAATTAACGGTCTGTCTCAACCTGTGAATAATTAACTACCTGTCTTATAATCAACGAACTATATTATCATCATGTGTATAATCAACGACCTGTCTCAACCTGTGAAGAATCAACGACCTATCTCAACTTGTGAATAATCAACGACCTGTCTCAACCTGTGAATAATCAACGACCTTTCTCAACCTGTGAATAATCAACGACCTTTCTCAACCTGTGAATAATCAACGACCTTTCTCAACCTGTGAATAATCAACGACCTGTCTCGTCCTGTGAATAATCAACGACCTGTCTCAACCTGTGAAGAATCAACAAACTATGTTATCATCATATTGTGTAAAATCAATGACCTGATTCAACCTGTGAAAAATCAACCACCTGTCTCATCCTGTAAATATTCAACGAACTGTCTCAACCTGTGAATAATCAACGACCTGTGTCAACCTACATAATTAAAGCAACCACCTGTCTCAACCTATAAACAGTCAACGACCTGTTTTATCCTGTCGGTAATCAACAACATACGTCATCATACTGCGTATAATTGTCCTGATATTTAAACGAAATAAGAAAATAGTTTCATTATTTTTAATAAATTAATCTAAAATATAACATTAAAAAAATAACAACGTGCGTAATAAAACCAGCACTTTACATGCTTCATAAATGCTAAAAAATATATATATATACATATCACAGTTAAGTATACTTTTGGGACGGATTGGCTGAGAGCGGATTGTGCATTCTTCAAAATGTACTCTGTGTAAGTAAAAAAAAACACAGTTTTCTGTATATTTGCAATCCCTGAATGTTTTCATTAAATGAATAATTTATGTACACATGTATATCTTTTTGATTTTAAGTGTTTTTATTACTCTAGAAACAGAACACATTGAACGGCAATACTTAACTCCATATCAATATATCATATTGTTTTTTAATGGTGACACGAGTTGCTTTCCTCTATTCTTTTTTAAAACTCAAATAAAATGCAAACTACTTTTTTTAAATTATAACATACATACAGAAACAGGAGATATTTTTCAAAATCATTGCTGTCTGTTTTTTTTTATATTTTCAACTTTCAATGTAAACAAAATGATCAAAATTATTGCAGAAAACTTTTTTTACCTGCCTTCGGAGGATTTTTTTTACCTGCCTTCGAAGGATTTTTTTTACCTGCCTTCGAAGGATTTTTTTACCTGCCTTCGAAGGATTTTTTTTACCTGCCTTCGAAGGTTTTTGTTTAAAAGAAATGTGGAATAAAACAATTTACTTATAAAAAAATACACAAAACATAAAACGATTGGTCGGTGACTAAAAACGACAAACTTCTCCATTCCCACCACACTCAAACACATAGAATGATTGGTCAGTGGCTAAATACGAACAGACTTTCCAATTGCTAAAACGTAAATAAAATAAGAAAAATATTGTAAGTGATTCCAGTTAATGACTTACATTCTTCTTGGAACATAGCACAGTAATTTGTACATGATCGGGTTTCACAAGCGTTTTAAAAGATATATCTTACCATGTCAATTTGACCCGTCCTGTCATACACTCAGTGATTATCAATGTTTTCAATTTTCCAAAGATTGATCTGATAGTATTATGTTCTTCTTAATAGAATACAATGTATGATTTATAACTTGTGTAGTATCCGGAAAAAGAGACGTACATTTACAAAACAAAGATAAGAACATTAGCCTGATATTTGGAATAATTCACTATGATGTCATACCCACATCTATTGAGATGTTTGACTTGGTCTCGGTGTTCTAGGAGTATAACGAGTTAACCAGTCTTCACATTTTCTAATAGCCCTGTCCCTTATATCAGGCGGAGGTGTTTCCGACTCTCTCTCCTCCCTGATCGGGGCATCTCTATAACGAATGTCAAATCCTGGGGGGGTTATTTCGAACGTTGTCTCTCGTTTTGATGGGAATGGATATTTGCCAACTTTTCCATCAGTTGATTTGATATGCCGTAAGGACAGAATATCTGGATTTTCTGTAGGAATTTCTGGTAGTTTGGTATGAATAGAGCGACTATCTCTAGAAGGCATTGATATTTCAGAATCATTACAATCAGTTCTATCTTCTATTGAAAGAACACCATCCGTTTGGAATATGTTATCCTCTATTGCCGTGTTAGTCTCGTCTTCGGAATCTAAGTTCCATTCGGAATCGTTCTCCATTATGGTCTCCGTCAATGCTGTTTGGGCTTCTGCTGACATCCGTGAAAACATTTTCATTTTTCTTCTATTAATTTTTGTTCTACCTGCACTTTCTGCGCGAAATTTTGTTTGAACACAACTATCCATTAAATTGACAGGACATGATTTTGAAGTTTTTATGGTAGATAAACTATGACGACTAGGAGAATATTCTGCAGTTTTTATACTAGAAGATGGGATATCTGCATTTTTCACATTATTTGATGAATTGTCAATGTTGCTGTAGTTCCCCATATAATTGTGTGACTTCTCCTGTGGTTTTAAAATCTTTGACAGATCTTTTCTAAATGGCTGATTCTTATCGTAACGCAAACATAAAATTTCACTAACTCTTACCCCAGAATCGTTAATTTTCGTTCCCTTATCAAACGTGTTGACATATTCGTCATCGCTGTTTGAACGTTCGTTGAATTCACTGTATATATTACTTGTCTTGTGTTTTGTCTCGCCACCGGTATATATTTGTGTTGCTGAAATCCTAGTGGATTTTAATTCATATTTACCACTCCGACGTTGTTCTTTCGTTCTTTGAAGTGATGATCGTACAAGTTTAGTATCGTATATAGATCTGCCTATCGTAGAGTTATATAATCCATTCATTGTAGCAGTACTTTGTGCAATTTTAAGTTGTAGCTTCTGATATTTTTCCTCTAGAACTCGCATCCATAATGGCTGTACTTGCATATGTTGACGTTGATTTAACTTGGGTCTAACAAAAGACTGGGGAATTGCTTCGCTGGATCTCATCGTTGTTAACATTGGCTCAGGATCAAAGTTTATCTTTAGATCTAAATAAAGACACGTTGGAGGATTTCAATAAAATAAAATAAATTAAATTATACCGTTGACCAGAAAGAAAGTTTAATTTGTTTTTCACTTTCTTTCTATGTATCACGGAGCGTACCTTTAATTTTACTGTTCAATGGAATATTTGTATACACTTCATTACCATGTATTGTTAGCAGACTTTGATTAAACTTCCATATCATGATGTACACACTGATATTTATAAATGACCTGAGTCACGGGCCATAAAGTTATGCAATTCCTATTCATACTCAAATATTGATGACCTGAAGATTGTCTATTGTTCTATGTTGTTTAAATAAACTTGTTGACATTTCTAACTGTATAATATCCTGTTTTCCGTTACAAAATAAGTAAAAAGTCTAAATTATAACTTTTTGTCAGACTTCTACCGTTCACATCAGTCTTAGTTCAATATTTCCATTAAATGTTTGTATGTCTTAGTTTCAATAACAGGTGACAACCTAGGTTCACTTCCATTCATAGACAGTCTCTGAATAAAAGTTGTTTGAATTAGTCAACGGTATGTTAAATACACGGCCTTCCATTTCACAAATCACGTGGTACATTATTGATCGTCTGCTATCAAATGATCAGGTGAAAACCAATATTTTTAAAACTGTTAAAATAAAGGTAATTCTCAAGTTGAACCTGTCGATCAGACTTTTACAAACTGAAGTGACGTTTTAATCCGGTTATAATAGGAGTTTCAATTAAGTAAAGGATAAGCATATTTAATTCATTCTTTTATCTGAAATGGACCTTAGCTGACTTTTAATCGGCATTGTTGGTACATTAAAACATTACACTTCGTTCTGTAATGTACTTAGCCCATAAACAGGTGTACATAGAGGAAATTAAGTTACTGCATACTCATGATTAAAAGTTTAAAAGGAGGAGGATCATATGTTTGTACAGTTTTCAAGAACTAAATGTATATCTGACAAGTAATACAATATTGGTTTCGAATATACAACGAAGCTGTCAACCATCAAACTATTGAGTCAAAAGTGTAATTTGGTGGAAGCTCAACCGTGGAAAAATTTGAAAAATCTAAGTATTATATCTGACGAAATTCAGACGGATTCAACCAGTACTAAGTACAACAGAGAATCTTGGCTCAGATGAAGAATTTCATAATAATTTCAATACTGCAACTGGTACCAAGGGCAGTTTCTTAAGATTCTCATCTTGTCTGATTCAGCAAACCGAGGATTTGAATAGATAACTTAATAAATAAACTTGTCAAACATGATTATCTGATCCATATTTAGCATCATAACTTATAATCAATAAAGACGACAAGAAAATGTGACAGTATTATATGCCCCGGCTTCTCTGACATCGTGGCAACAATGCATGCATTGTGTCCAGCGCCATAGACCACTCGGAAATTAGCTATAGGTTATAGGAAAATATAGCTTTCGTCAGTCCAGTAATGCCTTTCCTCCTATATTTGAGGGGAGGAGGTTGACAAAATTAATACTCTAGAATAGATTTGGACAGTTTAACCATACAAATGATCCTGATAGTTGTATCCTCAGTTTTAGGGTTTAAATATCATAGAACAGTTTAGATGGCAGATTATTCTGACAGTTCTGAATTGAGGTTAGAACATATATGGCCAAACCTCTTTACTACCATGTTTCCTCAAAATTTTTAATCTTTGTCTTTCTTACGGAAAATACCCTGAACCCTGGACTACATGTCTTTTTTTCCCAATTCATAAAGGGAATGATACATCTGATCCTTATAATTGTCGAGGAATCACAATCACTGATCCTAATGATTACCGAGGAATCACAATCACTGATCCTAATAATTATCGAGGAATCACAATCACTGATCCTAATAATTATCGAGGAATCACAATCACTGATCCTAATAATTACCGAGGAATCACAATCACTGATCCTAATAATTATCGAGGAATCACAATCACTGATCCTAATAATTATCGAGGAATCACAATCACTGATCCTAATAATTACCGAGGAATCACAATCACTGATTCAATGGGGAAGCTTTTTAATAAGATACTTGACACCCGTCTTTGTAAATTCTAAAATAAATATCATATCATTGATGATAGCCAAATTGGGTTTACCAAAAAAGCACGACCATCTGATTATATTTTCATTCTTAAGACTATTATTGATAAGTATTGTAATACAAAAGAAGGTAGAGTGTTTGCCTGCCTTGTTGATTTCCAGAAGGCTTTCGATACTGTCATTCACCCAGGGAAAAAGCTTAAGCTGTTACATATAGGGGTGGGTTCAAACTTTTATAATATCATTAAGAGCATGTATGCCCACAATAAATCTTGTCAGGTCTCTTTAGAACTAAAGTAGGAGTAAAACAGGGAGACAATCTGAGTCCTAATTTGTTTAAAATTTTCATAAATGACCTTCCTGATTGTCATAAAAGTTCGCCTGATCCAGTTGTTGTTAATTCACGACCAGTTCTTTGTTTACTATATGCTGATGATATTGTCATTTTTTCAACTTCATCAAAAGGACTTCAGAGTAAACTTGATCGAATAAGTACTTATTGTAAAGATTGGTGTTTGAAAATTAATCCCAATAAAACTAAGGTGTTTGTAGGCGGGCAGACATATCAAACACAGTTTTTATTTTACTGACATACTTATTGATTGTGCACAACATTGTGAATCTTTCGGAATAACTTTTAGTGCATCATGATCTTTTTCCTTCGCTCAGAGAGGATTGTATAATAAGGCGTTAAAAGCTTACCACATCGAGCTACGCAAGGACTTTATGTCACTTAATCCAAGTTCAAAAAACAGCCTTCATGTATTTGATCATACAATTAAATCTATTCTTTTTATTCTTTTATATAGTTCAGAACTTTGAGGATATTTTAACCCTTTAAAAAAAATTAAAATCTATGACTACACATGTAGATCAGGCTTATCCTAAGCTTCTTTCAGAAACACTACACATTAAATTTTGTAAACTTTTACTTGGCGTTGGCAAAAGGGCAACAAATTGTGCCACTCTTTCTGCAGTTTAGCTTCTGCGATCAATTATAGCTTTAAATTTTTATACAAAAAAAATTGTATCAGTACTATGAGAATCAGTGGAGACTCCAAATGCACAACTGTACTGATGGAAAGGTCTGTAACTATAGCACTTTCAAGACAAATTTTGATCTTGAAAGATATCTTATTTTATTGCGATCCCCTGAGCGGAGGAGAAATTTTACTCGATTGCGTAATCGTCGCATAAACTTAGAACTGAACAAGGTAGATATCATGGTATTTCTCGATAAAATAGAGGATGTCTCAGGTGCACCTCAAGTGAAAGTGATGATGAAAAACACTTTTTATTTTCATGCACATCATCTTTAACTAGGAAAAACTGCATGTACTCCATGATTAACTCACTCTGTCCTAACTTTAAGCACTTTTTTCCTAGCCAAAAACTAATCTGGCTACTTAATGTAGAGAATGTTGATACATTAATATCTGTTTGTGATCTGATTGATGAAGGCAAAATATATATCTAGCTTCTCTGCATGAGGCACGAAGATTGCATGGTGGTTACCTAGACTCACCAATGATAATAATGTACCTTTTTGTATTTGTTTTATCATTGACAATCAGAATTATTCCCATATATATTAAATATAAGTATTTTTTCTATTTAGTATTATATATACTTGGGCATGTCATTTAGCATCGTCCCTTGGTGCCTCTTGCAGTCGGGTCACCTTACAATATGTATCAACCCCTCTGCATCAGACACGAGGATGACATACCAGGTTTGTGCATCTGCTCATAATATCATAACCAAATTGTCTATTTACATACGTGTATACCATGTGCGTCTATCTCCCACCTTGCCATGCAACACCGTCCCTTGGTGGCTTTTGCAGTTAAGTTATATATCCAATACATTGCCAATTTATTCATAGACCTTTTTTATGTTGGGGTGTGCCTGAGAAGGAGGTACAGCACTGTTATAAAACGTATATATATATATATATATATATATATATATATATATATATATATATATATATATATATATATATATATATTTATATGTGTATATTTATATGTGTGTGGAGTTCATTCATGTTCAAACAGCTTTTTCTTTTCTTTGTATGTATATTTGACTATTGGTTTTTTTGTTGTTGTCTTATTAATGTCTTATATTGTATTATGCTCGTTGTGATCCATTTAATGGAATAAAACATCTTCTTTATCTATACATATATCAACTCAATAAATCTTATTTTGCATTTTATTCTCATTTTTTGTAAAATCTTATGACTGTTTAAATTGGCAAACCGTATCATGGATACTCGATCTAATCATATAGACAAGACAAGACAAAACTCGATCTAATCATGCAGACAAGACAAGACAATCTAATCATATAGACAAGACATGACAATACTCGACCTAATCATATAGACAAGACAATACTCCATTTTAGTCTCACATTTTCCTTTCATAAAACATACAAATAGTCAATAAAAAATAATCATAAAACATACAAGAGCCATTCTGGAAAGAGAGAGACTTTATAAAATGTATATACATTATCTAAACTATTAAAATAAGCAATATAAAAACATCTACTTTTCAATAGAAGGTCATTGCAGATTTCGGCAGTATAACAATGCACATTTTCCTCTGTGAAAAAACCCCAATATAAATCTATATCGTCATCAGACAAATGCATAAAATTAACATAACATAGAGATGCTTGATAAAACAAATAACAACGCAAATCTTCAAGCACTGGACAATTCATTAAGACAATGTTTTTTTTTTTATCTTCAATCATCATGATATATGTTGAGTCTAAATATGGAGTCAAATGAAGCATATAAAATATACTGATATATTTATAAAATTTTGTGCTAAAACCTTTGAAAATTGGTTTATTTAAATGAATTTCAAAATAATCTTTGTGATATGTTGCCTAAAGGATAAAAAAAGTATGCTTGAATATTTTCCATATTTATTCAGCAACAAGGACACTTGATATAATGCATGAAAAGAATAAGGGATGGATTAATCATTTCTTCACAAAAAGCATGAAAGGAATAAGAGATGGATTTCTTCACTAAAGTCACGAAAGGCATAAGGGATGGATTTCTTCACTAAAATCAAATATTAAAATGCAAATTATTTCAAACTACTTCACATAAAACCAAAACATTGCCCCCTTTGAAATAACATCTATCTTTAATAGTCTTTTGTATTCAAAGAATGGTAACTCTTACTTTAAATTCCGTTATTTATAATCAAATCAAATCAAATCAAATCAAATATTTTATTGTCGTTTAAACCTTACAGTTTGTGACCAACATGTATTAACACAATAAACATATATACATACATATCAAACATACACAATAAAAACAGCATCAAAATTTATAAAAACAAACAAGCTGTTAAGAGTCCCCTGCCCTCAGTTCTAATGACTTTTTCAAGAAGGATCCTAACTTATTTGTTTGTAAAGGAGTTGATGGATTTAGTAAATAATGAATTTTTTCTTCTTCACTTAAATTATTAAAGTTATTATTTTCAGTACATATGTGTTCAAAAAAGGCATTTCTTA